CCTATGTTGTACCAAGGGGTTACTCAGAGTTTCGATTGGCATTCAAGTATAAGTTTATCTGTTCTGGCCTTTGGTGTTTTTTTATCTTTACTCAGAGTTTCGATTGGCATTCAAGTATAAGTTTATCTGTTCTGGCCTTTGGTGTTTTTCTATCATTACCCAGAGTTTCGATTGACATTCAAGTATAAGTTTATCTGTTCTGGCTTACAGTGTTTTTAATCTTTACTCAGAGTTTCGATTGACATTCAAGTATAAGTTTATCTGTTCTGGCTTACAGTGTCTTTTATCTTTACTCAGAGTTTCGATTGACATTCAAGTATAAGTTTATCTGTTCTGGCTTACAGTGTCTTTTATCTTTACTCAGAGTTTCGATTGACATTAAAGTATAAGATTATCTGTTGTGGCCTACAGTGTCTTTTATCTTTACTCAGAGTTTCGATTGACATTCAAGTATAAGTTTATCTGTTCTGGCTTACAGTGTCTTTTATCTTTACTCAGAGTTTCGATTGACATTAAAGTATAAGATTATCTGTTGTGGCCTACAGTGTCTTTTATCTTTACTCAGAGTTTCGATTGACATTAAAGTATAAGATTATCTGTTGTGGCCTACAGTGTCTTTTATCTTTACTCAGAGTTTCGATTGACATTAAAGTATAAGATTATCTGTTCTGGCCTACAGTGTCTTTTATCTTTACTCAGAGTTTTGATTGATATTTTGAGCAACATTCGTTCTATAACAGTTTATGATTTTATTCAAAAACAAACAATCGTATCCAAATATCTGACTGGCCAATTAACCTGTCATTCCGTTAGAATGATTGACAGTTTGTAGAAAGTAGTATCTATTATAACTAGCACTTGGAATATGTTATGGACGATGAGTTGGGTCATGTAACCCTATCGGTTGTTTATGTTATCAAGGAGAACAAACGTTTTTTATAAAACGGATAATGAAACCTTCATCACGTTTGCTTTTAATCAGATTCAAACTATATCGTACTAAAAACAAAATAATTACACGTACTTTTCCAACATCGTGTGTTTAATACTAACGTGAATAACAGGACATGTGAGAAGGAAATATTATGACTAGCTTATCTTTATATTTCCGTTTTGTTTTTTACTTTATACCTCTTCGCTAAGCACGTGCATCATGAAACAGGAAGTTTAGTAATAATTACATACGTAGTTCTGGTAAACGCTTTAGATGAGGTTCGTAGATTTACAAGTTTGAATGAAACAACAGACTGTTCTTCAGAAGATCACATTTCTGTCCAACAATGTTTCTCGTCTGGTTTATCGTTCTTCCGTTTGTTTGTTTATCTAGTGTCAAGGTGAAAGTTTCTGAAAACCAGTGCCCTCAGCTGAAGAACTGTACTTGTCGGTACCAAGGTCAGCTTTTAAATGTTAACTGTTTTAACATATCCGACCCGTCACAGTTGACTAGTGTGCTGCACGAAGACCTGAAAAACCAAACTTTAAACCATGTTTATATCAGTAAGTCTAATATATCCCACATTCCCTCATCTCTTTTTGCCAACCTGACAATCCAGAAGATTCTCCTCCGACACGTGGATGTGAAGACCATTGATCCAGACGCTTTTGAAACCGTTCAAGGACTTTGGGAACTCAAATTAAACTATGGTAAAATAGAATCCATACCCAGAGCTATTTCTAACGTAGGAATGAGACTTAGACGTCTGTGGATGGAACATGGAGAAATCAAGGAGATCAAATTTGAGTTTCAAAACTTCACGATCTTGGAACTCTTAGATTTAAAAGCAAACAAAATTGTATCTATTCACAAAGATGCGTTTGTTTCCCTTACGAATCTACGTAGTCTCGATCTTTCCCGAAACGCAATCAAAGTTCTAGAACCAGGAACTTTTCGAGAAATGCATCAACTAAAAGAGTTGTCTCTAGTAAACAGTTCTTTGATGTATGCTGACGGATTGTTGGATAACATGGTCAACATTGAAGTAAGTTGAAAGTAATTATTATATAGATTAACTGTATATAAAATCAGAAACCTTCAATATATCTTCAACCTTGTTTGTGGGAATTAAATATACAGTAATATTTAAATCGGAGACTTAACGCTTTAGGAAGTTGTTATTAGAGTTAAGCCTTTTAACCTAAAGTTTAACACTAACACATCATTTACTACTACGTATACACCAATATTTAACGTAAAGTTTCAGACTAATATATATATATATCATTTACTATTAGGAACGCACTTTGAATTTAAATTTAACTATAATGGCCAGCGTTTAACCTAAAGTCTCATAGTAACACACACCCATTACTGTTAGGTATAGATACACCAACGACTAACCTAAAATCTGACACTAATACTGACATTTTAATACTAGGTATATACACACCAACCGATCTCGCTGATACACAACCTTTACGTATATAAACCAACGTTTAATCTAAAGTTTCACACTAATGCACACCAGTTGTAGTCCAGACCTCAGTGTCGGAGATCTGAGACCTTGTAATAAATTACAGAATGAAAAATACAGCAAAGATAATAAAAACCACATGCATTAAACAAACAGTATTTGTTTTTAACGTCTCCTCCTATGGGAAAAAACAAACAACCAATGAATGAATAAAAAAATGTCTACAAATAAAACTAAACTCAGTATTGGTGTCAGAAAATTATTCATGAACTTTAAAGCCAAATAGGATCACAGAAACTCTAATGGACACGTTGAATATCCCTGATGTTTGACGTGCACCACATGAAGTTCACACAAACTTATAGTAAGCCTACGATGTATAATAGCGATTAGGTTTGAATAGAGCGTGTTATAACTGCGGAATAGTGTACAGGCAATATGGTGGTTGGTGACGTAAACAAAAATAATGGAAGTGCTATAAACATCATTGTAAAGGTGTAATACCAGGGGAGTTTTACCAGTAAAACATCATTACAAGGGTGTAATACCAGGGGAGTTTACCAGTAAAACATCATTGTAAATTACTCAGTGAGTTAGTTAACTACAGATAGTTAACATGCATTGTTGCTGGTTATTACTCAGTAAATTAGTTAACTAAAGATAGTTAACATGTATTGTTGCTGGTTATTACTCAGTGTTGTTTGTAATTTTGTAGTTGTGTAAATATTATTTTGGAATATAGATTTTTTTCTTCTTTCTGGTTCTTTTTCCTAATTCCTTTATTTATAGAAATATTAATGCTGATATTTATGGTATATTGTTCTTTGATGCTGGTAGAAATTGTTGTGATAATTCACCAGAAACTATCAACCTGGTGAATGATAATTATATCTAAACCTACTTACAATCTGACCAATATAGTTGATTAATAACAACAACTCTCAGGCGTAAGGATAATCGCCAACTGTTTGACATTTCTTTTAACTACTCCAAAGTATGTCGATCTCAAGTACAAGTTTATCTGTTCTGGCCTTTGGTGTCTTTTATCTTTACTCAGAGTTTCGATTGACATTCAAGTATAAGTTTATCTGTTCTGGCCTTTGGTGTCTTTTATCTAGTTAACTAAAGATAGTTAACATGTATTGTTGCTGGTTATAAAGATAGTTAACATGTATTGTTGCTGGTTATTACTCAGTAAGTTGTTAACTATCTTTAGTTAACTAACTTACTGA